GAGCTGAGATACGGGGTGCCGAAGAAGCAGCAGGACGCCGGGACGCCCTGGACGAGGCCCACCTGAACTCGCGGGGACAAGCCAGAGACCAGCGACGGCCTCGCGAAGGTAGCCAACCGGGACCCCACACCAAGAGGCGCCGTCGACAAGCACTGATGCGGAAGTTTGGATCTGAGGGAGAGAAGCTACCCACGACGAGGCCGCGCAGCAACCACCGTCGGGAGAGCCGTCAGCACCCCAGACCAGGGGCAGGCTCGCGTGCCCTGGCCAGATCCGGCCCGCGCGTCACGCCCCAGCAACCTCCATGCACCACCGAACAGATCTAGGCCGCGCTGCTGAGAGGAGCGACCGCCGAAGAAGGGCACGACCACGCCGCAGTACGCGAAGGAGGCCAGCAGCGGGACGGTGCAGCCGAAGGGCGGGACTTCAGGAAGAAACGGATCTGGAGGTGGAAGGGGAGGGGAGCTCGCATGCTAGAGGGCAGGACCCCGCCGCCACCGTCCGTCGCACAGGGCTTAGCCCGGCGACCTCACCCGACGACGGCAAGAGCGGGGAGCGGCGGGGGGAGGTGGCTAGGAGGTGGTGGCGGGGGGCCTCCGGAGCCGCCGAGAGCGACCCGGGAGGCGACCGTCTGGCACCTCCGAGGGTTCGGGCATAGTGGGTGGGTGAAAATAAATGTCTCATTTGTGCTCGTGATGAATCAATTGCTCACCTCTTCTTTTGATATCGTTGGCTAGGTTCATTTGAAGTGTTATTCAGTGTGGTTTTCAACTTCCTATGCTTTCATCCAACTTAAATCAATATGTTACATTGCTTGCAGGCCTCCCTCCAGGATGGAGGAAAACAATGGCTATTGGGTTTGCCGCAGTGATATGGGTTATTTAGAAGATACACAACAAAGTGTGCATCATGCAGTGGTTTGTCGATCGCTGTTTTGATCGCTTCCTTTTTTTCCATCGCTCAGGCATAGCTTTGGTCTTGTATGACTTTGCACTTGCCGGTGTGTATGCGTAAGTGTTGGTCATGCGCATCATAACTGTGCAGAGGCCGGGTGTGTGCTCATCGTGTTTGTATCCGCTTGATACTTCATTTTGAGTAAATAAAATCCACCCTTTGTCGAAAACACAACAAAGCATGCCTCTAGAGAGAAATCTTGCGTGGCCTATACTCTATTATTCATTTGATTTGTTGTTTTGCAAAAGGAAACAATAGTGGTGGCTCTCCGGCAAGGATTGACAAAACACATAGACGTGGAAATCGTGGTGTTTGATCGTACAAGAGGATGGGCGCGTCTGGAGCGACGCGTCACAAACACCTGATGGAGCACATCGGTGGAAAAACTCTGGCGGTGCAGTTGCTTTAGCCGCATGTGAAACAAAATGCTTCTTTAGTATGTTTGAAAACTATGTGGTTTCATCATATGGAAAGTTGTTTTGTATGTAGGTGTTTCCCTCCACCTTGATATTTCGAGCTTTACTCTATTTTGATGTTTAGTTGGTGACTGTTGTATCAAGCTTCGAATGATTTCAATGACGAAACCGGGGAGCAATCCCTTTCTTCAACAAAAAAAAATGAGGAGTTTTGTCGCCACACTTACCCCACGTGGCAGATCGGGCGTGATCTACCGAAAGGTGGCATGCAAGTGAAACTTATAGTGTGGCGCAGGGTACATCTGATATCAATAGTTACCCCACCTCCCCTACGACATCAAGTAGACCAAGAGCGAGGAAAAGTCACATTAAGAAAGCAAGGAGAGAAGATGTTTGCGCTGCCATGGCCTGGATGGTCCTAACAACCATATTACCGAAACTAATAATGGAGGTAATCGTTTAAACTGCTATACACCAACAATTATTCCCTAATCCAAACTCATCGGCCCTGGTAGACTGGACCCAACCCAACATATCAACCAAACTAACAACTACACCTTTCATGCAAGTGTGCTTCATGTCGACTAAACATTTGCTAGTCGAGTGGAGCAAACAGCAACATCTATGTTCTATCTCAACCATAATTAGATATAAGCCATCACATCTCTTTCCTCCTCCACAACAAAAGCTCTTCTCCTCCTGTCGGCGCCGCTGTCAGTCCGTCCCATCTCCGATGGCCTCTAGGACATGGAGGTGCGAACGATCTCGGCACCCCGCCGGCAGGAGGGACCCCGTTCTTGTTCTTGTTTGAGTCAGCATCTTGGTTGGGGCTGTGTGACGGCAGTGATGTCCCTTAGTAGGAATAATGTCTTCCACATCCTATCCCCGTCCTGATGGTGTGTCTAGCATCGTCGAAGGGCGTGTGGAGGTTTATCTTCGTCGGATCTTGCAGGATTAGGTAGGTGCTGGTCTTCGGTGGATCTATTTGGATCCGGTCTTCGTTCGTCTTCGTTTAGGTGTGTACAGGTTTGATCCTTCTGATCTACGACTTTCTTCATCGACGATGATTGCTACTCTGGTGCGCTGGTCCTATGGGGTCTTAGCACGACGACTTCCCTACTGTCTACTACAACAGGGGTTGCCCTTCTCCGGTGAGGGAGGGGCGATGATGGCGGCGCGCCTTCGGCTTGCTCCAGTGCTTGTAGTCGTCGCTAGGTGGTCCACAGACATGGTTGTTATTTAAAAAAAGACTATTTTACTACCCTGAACAAAGTTGGTGGTTTACATTACCCCCGATCTATTTTTTTGCTCCTTTACCCCCTGAACAATCCCAAACCAAACAAAAATCAACTTGCCTGGTTTGCCTGCTGATTTGGACAAGGTCAAAGGTTGTATTTGACCAGTGGGCCCAAGGCCCACACCCCACACGACCTCTCATGTCCAGCGCTGCTTCGTCGCCAGCCGCTTCACCACTTCTGCTCCGACTAGGAGCTCGCCGCCGGCCACCTTCTGGCCTCCTATAGCACGTCCCCACAGTCTGTGCCCTTAGATGCTTCTCCGGTCAGCCACACCATCACACCCCGTACGACGCCATCGAGAGACACTCATGGGTCGCTGACGAGGGGCCCCCACTGGTCA